GGCTGGGCGGCCGTCAACTCGGCAGCATTTTCAGCGGAGCTGGCGGTGCTTGCAGGTGAGACAGCGTTATCTTCGTTCTGGCTCCGCGCGTGGGCTGAACTTCTGGTTTCCATTTCCAACCACTTCTGACAGCAGTTGTAGTGTTGTAAGGACGAGCAGACTTCTTTAGGAGGCACACTCTGGTTATTGTATTATTTCCTTATACAATGCTTAACACAAACAGAGGGATATTCGGTCCCCTCACCCGATACCCTAGGGAGGTACAGCCTCCGGACCTGGCGGGACTCACACGTCTACCGCTAACCTCCTTGATACCTAAGGAGGTACAACCTCCGGACTTGGCGGGACTTACACGTCTACCGCTATCCTAGTCCTCCGGCTAGGACCTAGGGGAGGCTATCTGACCCACTGCTGGCCCGGTGGGTCCTGACCACTGGGTATGCCGAGCCTTAGCCCTTAGAAGGGCTGGGAGGCTGGTCCAGGGTCCTAGCTAGGCTTCAGCCCAGTCTTCTGTCTTCGTGCAGGGAGAGAACTCCCCGAGGTCGGTTGGGTCACCCGTCTTATACTCCTTCGTGGCCAGGTAGAACCAATCATACATTCCCACGTGGAACCGTCTGATTGGTTCGTACCAAACCCTGGCTACGATCCGTTTCACCTCGACTGACCCCAACCGTTGTACTCAGGGGTAATGCTGCACTGCCCTGGTGGCAATGCAGGTTACACAACAGCGCGTAGTTAACACCTCTACATATGTATGTTTTCCCCCTGTTCTGTATGTATGTATGCATGTTCTCCCCCTGTTCTGTATGTATGTATGTTCTCCCCCTGTTCTGTATGTTTGTATGGATGTTCTCCCCCTGTTCTGGGGAGCGGTAGTGTAGCGGTTAGCACGCTGCGTTATGAACCTGGCGACCCGGGTTCGATTCCCGCTCACGGCCAACACCAGTGACGATTATCTGAACCGGTCCTAGGCCTCCCCTAGGTCGACTCAGCCTCAAATGAGTACTTGGTGCGGTGGATAAAAACATTGCCACTGGGGAGACAAAGGCGGTCGGGCGTGGTGCTGGCCACCCACCCCCTCGTGTACCGTTCTGGCCTTCATAGGTGCTCGCTAACAGCACTTGCCCCTACAGTCTGTTAAGGCTATACGGGGGATCTTTGTCTTTGTCTCCCCCTGTTCTGTATGTTTGTATGTATGTATGTTCTCCCCCTGTTCTGTATGTTTGTATGTATGTTCTCCCCCTGTTCTGTATGTTTGTATGTATGTATGTTCTCCCCCTGTTCTGTATGTTTGTATGGATGTTCTCCCCCTGTTCTGGGGAGCGGTAGTGTAGCGGTTAGCACGCTGCGTTATGAACCTGGCGACCCGGGTTCGATTCCCGCTCACGGCCAACACCAGTGACGATTATCTGAACCGGTCCTAGGCCTCCCCTAGGTCGACTCAGCCTCAAATGAGTACTTGGTGCGGTGGATAAAAACATTGCCACTGGGGAGACAAAGGCGGTCGGGCGTGGTGCTGGCCACCCACCCCCTCGTGTACCGTTCTGACCTTCATAGGTGCTCGCTAACAGCACTTGCCCCTACAGTCTGTTAAGGCTATACGGGGGATCTTTGTCTTTGTCTCCCCCTGTTCTGTATGTTTGTATGTATGTTCTCCCCCTGTTCTAACGTATGTATGTTATCCCCCTATTCTGCAATGGGTTTTCTTCACGTTTCCCGGTTTCCAACCAAAGCTAAAACCACTCACAACGTAACTGGCAATGGTTAAACATCTCACTGTTGAAAACGTACCTGAAATTACTCAATTGAGATTACACGTCGCATCATCACGCCCCCTACTGCTATAACTTGGCAGGACCCTCTTGAAAAGAGTCTCGTTGAGACTTCCCTGGGTAAACAAACGTGATCACAACAACATTTGAGTTCGACTGAACCAAGCGTCCCACTTTGTCAATGCCCCCTGTGCATTACAAGGCAAGCATACGTCCCAATATAAACGGGGTAATAAAGTCTGCTTTCACTTCACGACCTGATCACGAATGATAGGTCAATCAAGTGGCGGCTTATCATCATCATCATCATGTGGAAATGTATAGCAGACAAATACTCTAAACGAGTGACGTTGATTCTAAATTTAGAGGGGAAAACCCGAGAAACGCCAAATATACAACAGCAGCAGCAGGCATCGTCAGGGTCGGTATCGAACACACGACCTCCTGTGTACCGGGCGAGGTAGTCAACATCGTACCACAGTCACACTTCTAAGATCGGACTCAATAAAATAATTCCCTTCTGTTTGGTGTACTGTGGGGGTGAATGTTTATCTGTGACGCTGGCAATGCCGTCTCAGCGTTTGGCTGAATGTTTGCGCAGTGAACAATGTTGGGTTGATTCTAGATTTGTAATGTTGGGTTAGTTCTAGATTTGTAATGTTGGGTTAGTTCTAGATTTGTGATGTTGGGTTAGTTCTAGATTTGTAATGTTGGGTTAGTTTTAGATTTGTAATGTTGGGTTAGTTCTAAATTTGTAATGTTGGGTTTGTTCTAGATTTGTGATGTTGGGTTCGTTCTAGATTTGTGATGTTGGTTTAGTTCTAGATTTGTGATGTTGGGTTAGTTCTAGATTTGTGATGTTGGGTTAGTTCTAGATTTGTGATGTTGGGTTAGTTCTAGATTTGTGATGTTGGATTAGTTCTAGATTTGTGATGTTGGGTTGATTCTAGATTTGTGATGTTGGGTTAGTTTAGAGATTTGTGATGTTGGGTTACTTCTAGATTTGTGATGATGGGTTAGTTCTAGATTTGTAATGCTGGGTTAGTTCTAGATTTGTGATGTTGGGTTAGTTCTAGATTTGTGATGTTGGGTTAGTTTTAGATTTGTGATGTTGGGTTAGTTCTAGATTTGTGATGTTGGGTTAGTTCTAGATTTGTGATGCTGGGTTAGTTCTATATTTGTAATGTTGGGTTAGTTCTAGATTTGTAATGTTGGGTTGATTCTAGATTTGTGATGTTGGTTTGATTCTAGATTTGTGATGTTGGGTTAGTTCTAGATTTGTAATGTTGGGTTGATTCTAGATTTGTGATGTTGGGTTAGTTCTAGATTTGTGATGTTGGATTAGTTCTAGATTTGCGATGTTGGGTTAGTTCTAGATTTGTGATGTTGGGTTAGTTCTAGATTTGTGATGTTGGGTTAGTTCTAGATTTGTGATGTTGGGTTGATTCTATATTTGTGATGTTGGGTTAGTTCTAGATTTGTAATGTTGCGTTGATTCTAGATTTGTGATGTTGGGTTAGTTCTAGATTTGTGATGTTGGGTTATTTCTAGATTTGTGATGTTGGGTTATTTCTAGATTTGTGATGTTGGGTTATTTCTAGATTTGTGATGTCGGGTTGATTCTAGATTCGTGATGTTGGGTTAGTTCTAGATTTGTGATGTTGGGTTAGTTCTAGATTTGTGATGTTGGGTTAGTTCTAGATTTGTGATGTTGGGTTATTTCTAGATTTGTGATGTTGGGTTGATTCTAGATTTGTGATGTTGGGTTAGTTCTAGATTTGTAATGTTGCATTGATTCTAGATTTGTGATGTTGGGTTAGCTCTAGATTTGTGATGTTGTGTTGGTTCTAGATTTGTGATGTTGGGTTGGCCGATACGCGCGATGCTTCGAGTGCGGTGGGTCCGCACATCGCACTTTGCTGCTCCGCTACAACTCGGACGCACGCCTTCTGCCGAGTTACTTGTTTCAAGGAAGCTGTTACGCGTGAAGGCTGCCAGGTTGTTGATGACCGATCCGAGAAATGTGTGAACAAACCACCGTGGATAAATGCGTTCTGCTCCCTAACTCGGACTGCGTTGTGATAGCCCAGAGAGACGACAGAGATATATATGTGTAGGTTTACACACTGAAGAAATGAGGTCATTGACACAAATGGAGAAAGTATGATCCAACTCAGCTTTGCTGAGGACAGTAATGGTGATGTTAGATGGACGCAATTCTATGTTTAAAGCAATAATCGAAGGCAGATTAGCATCATCAACGTGACGAAAGATGAATGTTGTAATGAAAGGCAATGTCCCTTGTGAGGCTAAAAACATTGACAATGCGTGAAATATTACCTGCCATTAAATGGATCTGAAGCATGGAATCTGTCAGAAAGCGAGGATGAAGCAACGGAGATTAAAACTTGCAAGATGACTCGAGCGCGTTTTGCGTTACACCGGAATAGAGAAACACGTGGATCAAGAAACACACAGAGGCATTATATTGACCTCTTAAGGGAATTGAAGCTTTGGCAGGACGCGTGTTGGGACCGGTCAGCCCCAATGGGTTGGTGCTGATGATGTTGAAGAGTAAGTCGAGCGTTTATTGTTCCATTTAAACTATGAATAGAAAATAAGCTGAATGAACGCGCGACCGAAAAGTATGAATGAGTCACCGTCCCTGCGAAAAGATAATGAGTGGCACAGACAGGATACGGGAATGAGCAGTGAATGAGACGCCGACACGCAATGAACAAGTGAATGAAATAGGCAGGATTTGAACGAATGAGTGATACATGGTGCACACATTAGTCAATGAGAACAGACGCGGAATGAATGCATTAATTCATTCGAGGCGTGCACTGAATGCATTCGTGAGCGAATGAATGAGACAGAGGGATGGGAGAATGAGACTTGGCGATGAATGAGTGCATGAGAAGGCAAAGAATGAATTATTAAATGAGCAGCGATTAAGACAGGCGATGAGTGAATGAGACAGTGAATGAGATCGGCGAAGAGTGAATGATACGGTGATATTAATGGATCAATGGATTATAGTGGGAGAAAACGAGCGGGCCACATGCAATGAATGAATGCGACACGGGCATGAATAATTGCGCGAGTGAATGAGACAGGCAATGAAAGAGACAGGCAATTAATGAGGCAGGCAATTAATGAGGCAGGCAAGGAGCGAGACGGCGAACGAGACGCGCTGGAGCGTGGGGACGAGCGGTCACGTGCCTCCCGTTTCTTGGGTTTCCGCGCTCTTGGCGGCTTCACGTGGCGGCCCGTCACGTGGCCATCGCCGAGACCCGGGCAGGCCCGGGCCGAGAGGTCCCGCGTCCCATGCACGAGTGCTGCGGAGGCTTCGGCCACATCGACATGAGCAAGGTGAGAGCCACGGGCCCGGCGTGAGAGCCACGGGCGTGAGACACAGACGGAGCGAAGTTCACGGCGTTTGCGTTCACCAAGGTTGTACTGTATAGCAGTACTGTACAGCGCACTGTACGGGTGAGTACAGTGCGCGGTGATGCAGAGCCTGAACTGTCACGTGATCCGCGCCAGTCGTTTGAATTCCACATTCCTATGGCGTGACGCGATCCGGTTGCGAGGCACTCCCCTCCACGTGTTTGCTGCGGGAGTGCAGCGTTTGCGCGCTTTGCAGGGTGGGCGGGAAGTCGCTATACCCCTCAACCAGGCGAGTCCCATGGGTGGATATGACGCGGGGGTTCATGGACTTTCCGCCCACCCCGTACCACAAAACGGCGTGTCCCAGCGTGTGTATACACAGAGTATATATACAGTGTGTGTATATACACAGTGTATACACACTGTATATACACTCTGTATATACACACTGTATATACACACAGTGTGTATATACACTCTGTATATACACACATGTATATACACGCTAGAGTACATGCACACCTACCTGGCAACCCAGACGGTTTAACCCCGTATTATTTTACAGGGGAGTTTTCAGGTCCATACGGCTTGCAGCCGTTTCAACACGGCCAAGCAAATCATAATTTTAGTAACATTGTTGTCTATCTGTTTGTGTTTCTCCATTGTAGCATGAACGTTGAGATGATAAGGGCATTGGGTGACCAAGCAGGTGTGACTTGGTCTGTAACAAGCATCGAGACAGCTGCTGATGACCCCCGCAGCCTTGTGCGTGACCTCGAGGCCTCTTGCGTGACCTCGTGCGTGACCTCGAGGCCTCTTGCGTGACCTCGAGGCCTCGTGCGTGACCTCGAGGCCTCGTGCGTGACCTCGAGGCCTCTTGCGTGACCTCGTGCGTGACCTCGAGGCCTCGTGCGTGACCTCGTGTGTGACCTCGTGCGTGACCTCGAGGCCTCGTGCGTGACCTCGAGGCCTCGTGCGTGACCTCGAGGCCTCTTGCGTGACCTCGTGCGTGACCTCGAGGCCTCGTGCGTGACCTCGAGGCCTCAAGACGACGAAGTGCCCTCGCACAGTCGTACTGGCCTCAGGACAACGGCGGTCGCCCTGTGGCGACTTCTTAGCAAAACGGAACCGAATGTTTGACCTAAGCCTCGACATTGTGACCTGATTCATGGTTACGTTGCAGCGTGCGTTGGACAGTTATATATATAAAAGGGAAATTTGTGAATGTGTGTCTTTTCGAAATGTTTAGCATACTTCCCGACATGCAACAAACTTGAAATTTGGCATGTGGGTAGTTTCCAGAATGTACACAATGCAAAACGTATAAAATAGACTTTTGTATTGGGGGGGGGGGGGCGCAATAATGGATATATTGTGCACGGCAAGCGTGCGGTGACGTCACATCTGTGATGTCACCCGCATGCGGCTGCGTCACGCAGTGTGCCTGCTGACGTCACACACCCCCCCCCACCCTCCGCGTCGGCCGTGTATTAAACCAAGACAAGAATCCAAATCTCGGGCAAAGCCGGGCAGTAAAGCTAGTTTATGTCTATAGTATGTTGAACTTATTTCGCACCGTACACAGCCAACCGTCCAATTAGGTCCCATATCTAAAACAGAGAGAAGGGGGCTTCTTTGCCCACAGCGTTTGGCAGCTGAACGGTAACATTGTTTGAGGTGCGTTTTGTTAACACGGAATGTTGTTGCTGTGCTGGTAGAGAATTGCCTTGTTCGTGTGCTTGGGGTTGCCGGCGAGCTGGTAATGGGTGGGTGTGTGTTGTGTATCAGTGTGTTCATGTGGTGTTTGTTAACGGAGTTGTGTATTGCTAGCATGTTGCCTGTTCACGTGTTTGTTAGCGTGTCTGCTACCCACAAAACAGAGACAATGGCGGTCAGGCATGGTGTTGGCCACCCACCCACTCCCTCGTGTGTGCCACAGTGCCGGCCTTCGGAGATGCTACTACTCATTACTCGCAGCACTTGCCCCAGCAGTCTGTGAGAGGCTACACACGGGGGAGTGGATCTTTGTCTGTGTACCCACAACAGGGTAGTGGCACCCTGGGTCCCTCTGAGTGTAACTCGAGGCGAGGTGAGGCCCGAGCCGGCTCGTGGGGCTCGTGGCACCCGCGGGCAACGGGCCCATGATGGTCGCTGCACCTGCCTGCTGACTTGCTCTGGCCACGTACCAGAACCTCCCGTGCCGGTTCAAACGTCGAGCTGGATTGACGAGGTTTGTGAAGGTCCACTGAGGTTGACGAGGTTTGTGAAGGTCCACTGAGGCTGACGAGGTTTGTGAAGGTCCACTGAGGTTGACGAGGTTTGTGAAGGTCCACTGAGGTTGACGAGGTTTGTGAAGGCACACTGAGGTTGACGAGGTTTGTGAAGGTCCACTGAGGTTGACGAGGTTTGTGAAGGTCCACTGAGGTTGACGAGGTTTGTGAAGGTCCACTGAGGTTGACGAGGTTTGTGAAGGCACACTGAGGTTGACGAGGTTTGTGAAGGTCCACTGAGGTTGACGAGGTTTGTGAAGGTCCACTGAGGTTGACGAGGTTTGTGAAGGTCCACTGAGGTTGACGAGGTTTGTGAAGGTCCACTGAGGTTGACGAGGTTTGTGAAGGTCCACTGAGGTTGACGAGGTTTGTGAAGGTCCACTGAGGTTGACGAGGTTTGTGAAGGTCCACTGAGGTTGACGAGGTTTGTGAAGGTCCACTGAGGTTGACGAGGTTTGTGAAGGTCCACTGAGGTTGACGAGGTTTGTGAAGGTCCACTGAGGTTGACGAGGTTTGTGAAGGTCCACTGATGTCCCTGCCTGCCCAGCGGTGCAATAATAATCGGGGGTTGGGCGGCAGCTGCGGATTGTGAGAGGAAGTAAGATGACGGAAGGAGCAGAGTGGCACGAGAGGTTGCCTCGAGATCAACGGCAAGACAGAGAGAGAGCAGGGGTGGTGCACGACACCACGAAGGGAATCCAGAGATGCTGGTTGCTGAGCGGAAACCTTGCAACGTCTAAATCTGTGGGATAAGTGAAACGAGGTGGATGGCCTCAGGTCTGGCCCGGATTGAGGAATACGAAAACTAAACTCTTATTTACCAGGTAAAGCCCACTGAGATATATAGATTTTTTTTCCAGAAGCAACCTAGCCACAAATGAACGCAACAAAGTGGCTTATCACGTTGAAATTTATAGCAGCCAAATACTCTAAACGTGTGGTGTTGTTGATTTCTAAATGTGGAGGGAAAAACCGGAGGACCCGGAGAAAAATGCACGCCACTGCGGGGAGACACGCAAGCTTCAAATATACAGCAGGCATCGTCAGATTCGGGATCGAACCCACGACCTCTTGTGTACCAGGCGAGGCGGTTAACGTCTCGCCTTCGCGGCACCCCAAAATCCAAAAGTCACAATTTTGGAGTGCCTCAAAGTCTGGAAATACCGCAGTGGAATCTGTCCACTGCGGTATTTCACGCACGCGCGGGCGGTGCGTCAAACGCGCATCTCTCTATCTGTCTCCCAGGTACAGATAGAGACACGAGGAGATAGACACACGGGGAGATACAGAGAAACAATGATGTAAAGCGAGACAATGAAATGCAGAGACACAGGAAGTGAGATGCAAGGAGATAAGAGATGCAAGAAGATACACAGAGATCAGGAGATGGGTGACCTGAAGGGAGTTGGTTGGCTGGGTTGTGTGAAGTTTGTTGTTAGATTCCACATCTGCCACGGTGTGCATGTTTAAACAATCTGTGCTGTCATTTAAAGAGTTTGATTGGAAAATTTGGACAACTAAATTGTACAATTTAACCGTGAGTAGTTTGCTAAACATATCGTTGGAGCTGATCCTCTATAAGAGTGCATCCAGGTCTCACTTGAATATCCCATTAAAGTTTTAACCTGATTGAATTAAAAAAAGAGAATTAATTTATCATAAATTGTAAATAATTGAATGGTCGCAAACAATGGTTGGAGCCAGCATTGTGGAGTAAAAACTAAATATTACACGTGAATTAACAAATTAATATTATTTTGAGACATGCTTCATCGTAAAAATACAGGAACACGTTCATCTCAGTCTGCTTCCCGTGGCATGTCAGCCTAACCCACGTCGCCTGAAGTGACATGTCAGCCTAACCCACGTCGCCTGAAGTGACATGTCAGCCTAACCCACGTCGCCTGAAGTGACATGTCAGCCTAACCCACGTCGCCTGAAGTGACATGTCAGTCTAACCCACGTCGCCTGAAGTGACATGTCAGCCTAACCCACGTCACCTAAAGTGACATGTCAGCCTAACCCACGTCGCCTGAAGTGACATGTCAGCCTAACCCACGTCACCTAAAGTGACATGTCAGCCTAACGCACGTCGCCTGAAGTGACATGTCAGCCTAACCCACGTCGCCTGAAGTGACATGTCAGCCTAACCCACGTCGCCTGAAGTGACATGTCAGCCTAACGCACGTCGCCTGAAGTGACATGTCAGCCTAACCCACGTCGCCTGAAGTGACATGTCAGCCTAACCCACGTCGCCTGAAGTGACATGTCAGCCTAACCCACGTCGCCTGAAGTGACATGTCAGCCTAACCCACGTCGCCTGAAGTGACATGTCAGTCTAACCCACGTCGCCTGAAGTGACATGTCAGCCTAACCCACGTCGCCTAAAGTGACATGTCAGCCTAACCCACGTCGCCTGAAGTGACATGTCAGCCTAACCCACGTCACCTAAAGTGACATGTCAGCCTAACGCACGTCGCCTGAAGTGACATGTCAGCCTAACCCACGTCGCCTGAAGTGACATGTCAGCCTAACCCACGTCGCCTGAAGTGACATGTCAGCCTAACGCACGTCGCCTGAAGTGACATGTCAGCCTAACCCACGTCGCCTGAAGTGACATGGCAGCCTAACGCACGTCGCCTGAAGTGACATGTCAGCCTAACCCACGTCACCTAAAGTGACATGTCAGCCTAACCCACGTCGCCTAAAGTG